TATGGAAACCAGTTTGACAATAAATTTCATATTTAAAAAAAAAGTCTCTGAGGAGAATTTGACACTGTTGGCACCTTCCTCCCCATTTAGGTTTTCCTCTTCTCACCTGCTTCTCCTACTTCCTTAACAGTTCCTCTTTTGATCTCTTGCTTGACCATTCCTCTCTGCCTGCTTTTCTCTGCTTAATTATGAAAACTATCTAATGTAATTTGCAAAAATAGAAATAATACAGTGAACATACAAATACCAGGCACCTACATTCAACAGTCATCAGATTTTGCCACATTTGCTTCATTTATTGCTTTTTTCTTTTTCTTCTTCACTGAAATATTTTAAGCATTCCAGACATATCGTTTGTCACCCACTTAAGTGTGCATTGCTAAAAAGTGAGGATGTTTTCTTTCATTCATAACCACACCTAACAAAACATTGGTAAGGTATCCACTAATACCAATTCATAACCTGATTTTTCAGATTTTCTCCAGAACTTTGTCTTTACAGCCCCAAATCACATCTGAACATTTCATTTGGTTGTATTTCTTAAGCTTCCATTCTTCTAGAACAGTCTACCCTTGTTTTTTTCCCCCTACCGTTTACTTGTAGAAGAAACCAATACAGTTTTATAGAATTCCATTTTCTGTATTTATCTTGTCAAAAGACAACCTCTCAGTATATGAAACAAAAAGCATAAAGCTGATACTGTTGCTTACTCTAGTAAGGAAGAGTGATGCTGATCTAATAGAGTGCCTAAGCAGCACAGACCACTGTTGTTACAGAGGATTTTGGGGAAGGGTAGAGCTCAAGAACTGGCAGATTTTCAGGGCCATAAATGGGTCGACATCATCTGTAAGAGTGGTTACTTGGGTGGGACTGTTGATCAGTTTGCACTCAGGTGTGGTTGTTGGAGTCCCTTCTTTTTTGTCTGATTTTCACAGATGGACAGCAGTTACTGATTGGTTGATTTGCAAAAAAAAAAAACAAAAACAAACAAAAAAAAAACTGTTTACCTGGGCAAGTTGATTTTGCTCAATTGAATGAATTTAAAGCCAGTTTTTGTGGCTCTCTTGTTAACATGGTTACACAACAATTAGTTTTTTCCTAGGAGTATTGAAATTGTTTTGTTCTCCCTATAATATTGTTGAACTTGTTCCTTTATTCCATTTCTGGTTAAACTTTTTTTTGGCAAGATTATTTCATAGCTCATGCTGCATTCTGTTGCATCCCATCAGAAGGGTTACAACACCTGGTTGCCCAACTTTAAGTGATGAGGTCCCATGATTACACCTGATCCCTCTATGCGACGTTCCCTGGCAGGCTTTCATCTAGTGGTTTCAAACATTGGTAATCATTACTTGAAATAACAATTTTAGTAGGGATTCCAAAATTGTGCTTTTCTATTACTTTTATTCTTTCTTCATTTATTAGCTGATATTTTCCAAAACCATGAACTTTCTCTCATCAGCTAGGGCTGTTGAAATACCTTGAAATAAGGCTCAAACAAGAAAGGCAGAATAAGTGTTTGATTGTTTTCTTTTTTTTTATAAATTGTATTTTTTTTCAACGTTTTTTATTTATTTTTGGGACAGAGAGAGACAGAGCATGAACGGGGGAGAGGCAGAGAGAGAGAGGGAGACACAGAATCGGAAACAGGCTCCAGGCTCCGAGCCATCAGCCCAGAGCCTGACGCGGGGCTCGAACTCACGGACCGCGAGATCGTGACCTGGCTGAAGTCGGACGCTTAACCGACTGCGCCACCCAGGCGCCCCTTGATTGTTTTCTTAATTATTTCCAGTTATCAGAGCCCTGGTTACCTCCAGTGGGGATGGTGTCCAGTGAGTTGACGTTTATGTTAGCTTTGACTTTTTCTTACTTTACTATAATGAACCCCTGGGATTTAATAATCAGGATGATTCAGCAATTACAAATAATTGCATTCATTATTTTTAATGCCCAAATTGTTCTTTTTCTGACCACTGCTTAAATGTTCTTGTTTCCTAGGGTTTCATCTTTGATAGACTTTTCTTCCCTCCTGTGCTCATTTTCCTGGCTGACCTCAGTCTTTTCTGTAACTACTCTCAGCATTTTAATTACTCTCAAATTATTCTTTCTTAACCAGACATCAGACCTGTATTTGCATGTCCTCACCTGCATGGCTCTCCCAAAACATGAAAACACATGATTAAATTTATCTGTTTGCTGTTCTTTTCTTCTTGTTGTATTTTCAGTTCCCGAGCCAGAAACCTGGAATCATTCTTGATTTCTTCCCTTCTCTTGTACATGCAGGTATTCATCAAATTTGCTCTTAGAAATATTTCAGTGCCCCAGCTTTTCCTTTGCATTGCACTGCTTACGGTTCTCAGACCATGGTGGTCTCTTACCTACACTTTGGGTCAGGCTCCTAAATAGAATGCCTACAACCTACCACTGCTTTCTACTCCAGATCACTCTATACTACTACCTTTGCAGTTACCTTCTTGGAAATAAATTTGGTCACGTTAGTCCACTGTTTAAAGACCTCTGCTAAGGGCACCTGGGTGGCTCAGTTGGTTAAGTGTCCTGCTCTTGGTCTCAGCTCAGGTCGTGATCTCATGGTTCTTGGGTTCAAGCCCTGCATCAGGCTCTGTGCTGCCGGTGCAGAGCCTACCTGGGATGCTCTCTCTCCCTTTCTCTCTGCTCTTCTCCCTGGCTCACGTTCCCTCTATCTCTCTCAAAATAAATAAACTTAAAAAAAAAAAAAAAGACCTCTACGGGGCGCCTGGGTGACTCATTC